CTGGAGAAAAGAAAATAGAAGAAGTTGACTAAAGGGAGAAACAAGATGAATTAAGTGGAGGAGAGCAGAGTTCAAAGGGAAAGGAGATAATGGGATGAGGCAAACAGAGGAGAGTAGAGAAGAGTGAATGGAGCTTGGGACTAGGAGGTACCGGGATGAGCTAAACAGGAGAGACTGGAGGAGAGTGGAGTCCAAAGGAGAAGGAGGCAATGGGAAGAGGCAAATGGAGGAGAGTGGGGAGGTGTGGAGGAGAGTGGAAACCCAGGACTAGGAAGCAGCGAGATGAGCTAGATAGAGGAGAGCGGAGGAAAGCAGAATTCAAAGATGAAGGAGCCAGCGGGATGAGCTAAGCAGAGGAAAGTGGAGGAGAGTGGAGTCTGAAGAAAAAGGAGCCAGCAGGATGAATTAAGCAGAGGAGAGCAGAGTCCAAAGGAGAAGGAGCCAACGGGATGAGCTAAGCAGAGCAGAGAGCAGTGGAAAGCGGAGTTAAAAGGAGAAAGAGGCAGTGAGATGAGCTAAGCAGAGAGTGGAGGAGAGTGGAGCCTAGGACTGAAAGGAGAAGGAGGTAATGGGACGAGGTAAGCGGAAGAAAGTGGAGCCCAGAATTGAAAGAGAAGAAGAGAAGAGAGAAGTTGGAGAAAGTGAGTGAGAGTTCTATTGAACTTTATTAAGAATCTGCTATGTGGAATCATCCTAAACGATTAATTTGATTTAATTGGGGGTGACTGTGGGTGACAGTTTAAAATAATTTTCTTTGAATAATCTTCTTTGAATTGATTTATTTGTGGGTGACTGTGGGTGGGTAGATGCTTGATTTATTTGATTCATTATTTTAACTTAAACTGAGCTGAACTAAGTTTAACAGATCAAAGGAAATTAAATTGAATCATTAATTCAAGAAATAAGTCAATAATTTGAAAAATCTGAAATTGAATCAAATTTAAAGGCGTACTTGATTTTGAACTTTTAAGCTGATTCAATTTGGAATTAATTTGTACTTTGGAAAGATTGGAGGTAATACCAGTATTGAATGAAACTGAAGAAATATAAGTATTAGTTAGAAGTGATAAGGAAAGAGATGGCTTCAGGAAAGAAAACTTACACCCAGACTCAGATGCAAACAGTAACTCAAAGACGAGGATCAATTGACACTTCAAAACAAGCAGAACCTACAATATCTTTTTTGTTAGAAGAAATGAGAAGCATTAAAACTGAGATACAACTTGAGATAAAACAAGAATCAAAAGATACCAGATTAAGGATGAAATGAAGAAAGAACTGGGAGCTATAGAGAAGAAGCTGGATAAGATAACTAAACAAGTAGAGAACTTCCAAGTAAATGTGGAAAATTTAAAAGAAGTAACATAAGACCTGGAAAAAAATCAGAACAAATGATAGAGACACAAAAGAAAGATGAAAATATGATTCTATGGCAAGAAATCCATTCCAGGGATAGATGTCTGAAATTTAGAGGGATACCCAAGGTAGCCAAAGAAAATATCTACAAAATACTTATACCATTATTAGCTGAATATATTGGATTGTCAGATTCAGAAATGGATCAAGCAACAGACAGGATCTTCAGGATAAATTCAACAATAGCCAGAGAAAGGAAACTACCTTGTGATGTAGTAATTTGTTTTACAAGAACAAGGATTAAAGATTTATTAATACAAAAAAGCTATGAAGAGGACTTAATAATAGATGGTCTGAAAATAAATATTTTCAAGGATATTCCTTTATAAATATTGAAAAAACATCAAGAATATAAATTTCTGACACAATTGTTACACAAGCAGGGAATAAGATATGCTTGGGAAAAAAATCATGTTACATTCATGTATCAGCAAAGAAGATTCAAAATAAATACTGTACAAAAGGCCAAGGATTTTTGTAAAAGATTCCAGTCAGAAATGAAATTAGACACTGAGAAGAAACCGACTTCTGAAGAGGGGAAGGGGAAGGAGAAGGAAAGCCCAAAAGAATAGCGGAAACAAACTAGAATTATAACGAAAACCCAAAGCCAAAAACAATGTAAAAAAAGGGAAGAGGAGATAGAAGAAGGTGAAGAGAGTGAACCCTTTTCAGATGAAGGCAAGACATCAGAAAAAGATCAAGCAAATGATGAAGGAGAGATAGAGCAACCAGAGGGGAGATAGAGGAACAAGAAGATATACAAAGAATAATATAAAATAGATGACAAGAAAAAAGAACAGAAAGAAGAAGCATAGAAATTAAACTTTTAAAAGATATAAAAATAAGATAGCAACTCAGATTTGTTCATAGAACATCAAAGGACTAAACTCAAAATACAAACGTAGTAAAATATTTCATTATCTTGAAAAGAAAAACCAGTACTTTATCTGCATTCAAGAAACTAAAATCAAACAGATAGATATCAGATTCTTGAGAAACTCCAAATTAGGGCAAATATTTGTATCAGCTAATGAGAAGGGGGAAAAGGGAGTAGTAATATTAAAAACAAATACAGTGCAAAAGAGGTTTTTGCTGATGAAGAAGGTCATTTTGTTGCAGTAGAAGTTATATGGTAACAGACTAAAATTCTGTTGATTGGTCTATACGCTCCACAAGAAAATAAAGACTGAGTAACTCCATCACCACCCGGCAGTGAGGCAGCTGTGGCAGCAACGGGGCTGGGGAGGCCCAGGTAGATCCTTTATAAGCCCGTCTGTTCCACCACCTCAGCAGCAGAGCGGCTGCGGTGGCGACAGGGTTGGGGAGGCTTAGGCAGAGGTGCTAAGCCTTAATACACGGGTAGGCAACCTTTAAACATAGATAACTGTTTATGAATAAAACCTACATCGTCCATCCAACTGAACCAGTATGATGTTCAATCAAATGATAGACATGCCTGTAGACTCCCAATGTTTTGTTAAAAGAGCTCAAAACTGTTCACATTAAGTTGTTAACTGTTCTTGTGGATTTTTTTAAAAAAAAAATCTTAGTTGCACTAGGCTGTGAAATTGCTTGTTTTCCCTTTGTACATATTTTTCAATACTATTAACTGCTGCTTTTTAAATTGTTTCAGTTTGGCCAAACTACTAAGAGTATTTTTTAATGTTTTTTTGGGCTCCTATAATTACTGCATGTCTACAGTTTGCTAATTAAAGAAATCATTTTTCTTACAGAGATGGATTCCATAGGAATAAAAGACTATTTCTGCATTGAGTCAGAGACTACTTTGTTTTTGTTTCAGCCAAGTACTGGTAATGCATATGGTCCAATGAGTGCATGCTATTTGTGTCCAGTGGAGTGGTTGAATACTGGACTAATAGAAGTTGGGAAATCCAGATTCAGAGCCTCACTGAAGCATCAACCTCCCTGGGAACACCTAAATCAATCATTGTCTCTCTGGCTGATCAAACTTAGGCTACATCCACACTGCAGAAATAATCGTTTGACACCAGTTAAACTGCATGGCTGCATGCTATGGAATTCTGGGATTTGTAGTTGTGTGAAACATTTAGCCTTGTCTGTAAGAGAACTACAAGTCCCAGGATTCCATAGCATTGAGCCATGGCAGTTAAAACAATGGCAAACTGGATTATTTCTGCAGTGTGGATGCTGCCTCTGAGGGTTTTATGAAGATAAAATAGGAAAGAAAAGAGTGAGGAAGAGACATGTGAACTTAAGTGTAAATGTAATCAACTAATTAATTTTAAAATGTCAAGCATCTTTTAGAGATTAGAATCCAGACCAGTATCCTAAGCATGGACTGCAGTTTTTCTTTTTCATAACCCTTCCCCCCAACAATGGAAAACAAACTTCCACATCTCACACTTTTCACTCAGTATGGAAGTTTCATTGCCTAAATAACCAATCAATTATCAGTATTTTTTTTCTTTTGCTAGTGATTTTATTTTATTTTATTCATAGTATCTTTTCCCCAGGATGGAACCCAAGGTGATTCACAATAAATTAAGGACATAATGGTACGCTAAAAGCCTGTTTGATACAGAAGTTTTAAAAGCACTGAATAACTGGTTC